AACTGTGGTCTAACGATAAGATAAAATAGGAAATACTATCAAGCGCAAAGGTGCAAATGAAATCGAAGATATAATCAGTTCCTTCAAAGAATTGCTACTCATTTACTGTATTTACATGCGGCAAGCGACAACGAAACACGAGCCGCAATGACAAATATGTAAAACATAATACTTGGATTTTTAATTTTAAACACTAAATTGCCGCTTTTACTGAGCTTTTTACTTCTAGTAAACGTCACACTGAATTAAGCGCAGTACCGTAGTGCAAATGAAACCGAGAATAGCTACAAACAGTTTAATCAGTTCGAAAAAATGAAATTCGAATACGGCAGACTGCCCAGGCACACTATGACAATGAAACACGAGGCGCAATGACAAAGATGAGGAAATAAACTTGGATTATCAACACTGAGTCAAAATAAGTCCAAACAGGCAAATCAACAATATACTTAAAATACGATTTGATAGTCAATGCTGTATATCGCGCGTCGTACGATATGCTAAACGAAAAATCTAGACATCAATGCGCGAATATTTATTTTGTGAATCAAACTACTACGCCAATTAGACTGCTGCTACGCTCGCTCGCTTCAGGCTCGCTTGCTCCGCAGCAATAAAATCACGGTAATCACAGATGACTCACGGGCAATTTGTTCAATTTATATTGATTACTCTTAATCCTTTTTCATATAACAGTAATATGAAAATACGAGGGAATTTATATTGTTCCTTATGACTTATGTTATTTTTTACACATGAAAGTATTGATGGGTCAGATGGGAAAGCCATGTCATGTCTGAGTCTGACTCAAAATTATTGCATACAGTCATCAATCACCAGGAATGACAATCAGTGGGATAAGATTTTTAAAATTTTGAGGTTTTCAATCAGCTGAAAATTAAGATTTGTTCACAATGAACTGACAAGAGTACTGTTGTTGCAAAATAATGTTGCGAATAATGTATTGGTCATTCATTTGTTTTTTTTTACATTGACCTATTAGCTGCATGATCAGGTAATTGAACTTTACAAGAACTTTGGTCTTTCAAATATAAACTTGTGTCCATTGAACATCATGGCCTATGAATGAATGCTAATGATAACATATTGACAAAATCTGTAAGAACTATATAGTATACAAATACATTGTATAATAGTAACACAATTATTTTTTTTTGCTCTTAGTTGATGCCTACACACCCTGCTTGGGTTGAAGTGGACCAAGCCAAAAATGAATAAAAATGGACAAATATACTGTTGGTACCCATTGAGTTAGAAACACACCAGGGATCGAAAGGGATTCGGCTGGCAAGGAAAATAAAGACAAACAACTTGATCTAGCTAAATGATAAAAGGTATGTATATACCTTTTCTATATTTATAATATGATTAATAGCAACTGGCATGATTTTTCCTTAGCCATAGAAGCTTTATATACTAAAGTTGTGATAAAGCTGGTAAAAATTTGTGTTGCTAGGAATAGTTTTGTATGATTAAATTAGTTTATAATAATTATGAAAGTGAGATAACCTAAGTGCATTTGAATAAACTGATATATTTAATTTTTATTAGAATGTGTAGGCAGAGCAGAGCAGCAAAGATAGTGAAAAGGAATGCTATGTGCAAACAGATGAAGGATGAAATCATGAAAAAATGCCATGCAAAGGAAAAATAATGATTGAACTTGATAAGTGTTCTTCTTTAAATGTTAGCCAAATTGTTTTTTTTTAATTGTATATGTAAATATGTGTATGTATTTAAAATGATTAACTTTTGTATTTAGATTTTTATTGTATAAAACCTCTAAAGTTTTAATCCAATAAATGTTCAATCCATACATGCATTGAAATTCACTCATGCAGCCATCTTATTATCTTCTAACCATTTCATATGTGAAATATTTCATTTTTGAAATCATTTCATATATGAAATATTCTTGGGTAAAAATCATATATATGAAATGATTTCACATGTGAAACAATTTCACATGTGAAATTTTCATATATGAAGTGTTTCAATTCCACACAAGGTTTCATATATGAAATATTTCATATGTGAAATCGTTATGTGAAATTTTTGTAAGGGTAAGTATGGAATATTTTACGAAGTAGAAAAACATATTAAATCGAAAATTATTGCGAAAGATACAAACCTAAAGAAGTATTCTCTGTCATGCATACCAAGTTTATAAGGACTAGTTTATGTACGCACCAACCTCTTCTCGCTTCGTAAAAATTTCTCTAGCCCAGAAGCGGCGTTGTTTCCTTTTTATTTGTCGTCGCCTCGTCGCAAAGAGCATAAACAAATTTAGTTGAAGAAGGAACTTCAGAAAGAACGCCATAAAAACTGCTTTAAAAACCCTCAACGACTTCTCGGTTCTTCTATGTCGTTTTCGGTCTTTCAAGATTACTTCAAAGACTCTGAAAGACAGGTTGCAACAGATAACTTCCTTATAGAAACTAGGCTTGACTGTGGTATTTCAACCACAAAGTGTACTGCGCAAGTTGCTGGTTTATGCACACTAACTGTTCTTGATGTGGATGCATTTATCGTTTAATTTCTGACACATTTCAACAATAAATTAGTGCGCAAGTATAGCTATCGCACAACAAATCAAAGTGAGGAAGTTCTTAAAATGTTATTAACGTAAAATTATGAAGACGAGCCTAACGCCAGTATTCTAAAACCTCACTCGCATTCAAACTCATTGAGTGAGAGATTTGAATCGCGTCACGTAGGTATTTCTGCTCCAATATGAACTTATTTTCAGTGTTCTACCTTGAAACTTTCCATTGATTTAAGATAGGACGCTATATATATTTCACATGGATCAGTGATAAAGGAAATTCTAAGTCATGCTCATTGAGTAATTTTGTGAATGTTGATGCTGACAGAGCTCGAGTTTATTTATATGTCTTCGAAACGTTAGCCAGTTCGTCTACAAACCACGGTGTTGAATGTCATGTTCCCAATCGGGGGTGCTTATCAAAAACCTACTCTTAGTCTTGTGCATGTATTACATTACCAATATGGAACAAATAAAGCCTCGTCTATCTCATAAATTGTACCGAAATGCATTATTTGCAAGCACGCAAGGAGTATGTACTTCGTTTCTGCCAGAAACAACTGAACGTTAGAGATGGGTCAATATAAAGTAATATAAGTACTTGGTATTCGATAACGCTGATACTGGAAAAGTATTCCTTCCGATGCCAAGAAAGGGTCGGCATTTGTCGATACATATATGGGCCTGTGGCATGGTAACGGTTATGATGAAACTGTTAATTACGATAAAAAGCGAAAGAAAACGAAATTTCTATCTTACTCCTGGTATTTGCACGGCATATTTTGGTTTTGTTTAGTGATTTAAATGAACAAGAATACATAATATATGAACACAGTTTTTGTTGTCTTACAATTAGTAATTAATTTTGACAAAAAATTTTTTTAAAACTTTCTGTAAAAAATAACAGTTAAAGTATTTAAATTTAGCATTACAAGCATTCACAAGTCCAAATTTTGACTGACGTACTATTTTTAACATCTAGAATTTGAGAGATATAAATCCACCACGTTGAAAGATGTCTTTGCTTAACTACTTTGGTTTAGTCGTGTTTCTGCATTTTTCAACCGCGATTTATGGTCATGAAACTTCGACAAATAATATAAATATGAGTTCTACCAATTGCACTGTTGATTTCCAAGAATCGACGTTCGTGGAAGATCTGATTCAGCTAATGCTTCTAGCCACCATAAACACCATTGAAATAACAGCGACCGTTGCCTCTGCAAACAAGACTCGAGTTTTTCCTGAAATGAAATGGTCTTGGGCGAACGAAATTGGTCGTACCTTAATTTCCTCGACCACTTTATGCACAATCTTACAGATTCAAGTGTTATGAAATAACTGGTGGTGGAAAGTTGACATTCTGTGCTGATTATTCCTCTATTGTACTTGAATGGGCTCGTCCGGGTTCAATAGCCGCGGTGGTTGTATTCTGTATAATGACGTTACCCTTCGTGCTTGAACATGTTATAACCTACCCAGAAATGACGTTTTACAAATCTTCGTTCAGTCATATGTCTCTTATTTCTTTTTTTTCTATGATATTTTGTGAAGGTCGTGGATGGGGTAAAACTCTCTTCAGACGATTAGCTTTTGTAGGATTTTCGTCCACAGTGTTCTATTTCGCCAAATATTTCAAGCACGCGTATTTCCTGTGGCTTTTTATTGTGTGGGCTTTATGTTTTTGTTTTTGTCACTTTCTTCGGATTCTCTTCGACAAAAGTCCCCCTGTATTAGAATCAAAGAAAAATTCGAGTTGAAGTTTACAGAAAACCTAATCTCCTGCTTCACAATTCCGATTTCCCTTCCCTTTGATAATGAAGATTCCAAAAGGGGCTCGTCGTGGAAGGATATTTTGACAGATATTGGGATTTACTTTGTAAAAATTCTGCTTTTAGTGTTTTCTCTAGTCCTTGTACTATTATGTCTGGTAAAATTCGTATTATTTGACTTCATATTACGTTTTGCTTTTCCATTTACTTGTGTATGTTGTCAATGGGGAGAAGGTTATGGCAACTTTCTTTTAACTTTCGCGGTGATCATCATTCTTTCTGGGTCGATTCTTTTTTTTGGTCTTACTATAACGGTTGGCTTGATTCTAAACGGAGAATTCTTCAATCCTTTCTTTGCCCCGGTTGTGACTTTGATAGCCTTTGTGTGGAAAAATTGGCAGTTCTCGGTCGAAGCGCAGTGTCTGCAACTCAAAACGCTAATTATTAGTGTTCGCAAGGAGAAAGCTAAGAAGACCCCCAGACCCCCCAATCAATCCGAAACTACCGCTAACACCCAAACATCACCGAGAGAATTTCCCTCCGATGAACCCGAAACTACCGCTAACACCCAAACACCAGATGGATCATCACCAGATGGATCATCACCAGATGGATCATCACCAGATGGATCATCACCAGATAGATCATCACCAGATGGATCATCACCAGATGGATCATCACCAAATGGATCATCACCAGATGGATCATCCCCAGATAGGCCATCACCAGATGGATCATCACCACGTGGATCGCCTGGTGAAAATAGTTGTTTAAAAGCATTCAAAAGTATTTCAAAATTATTCTGCTCGTGTAGTTATTTATGCACTGAAAATGAATGCAGTAATCTTTCAGGTAAAATGATAATCTATTTTACCCTGGCATTGGTATAATAACGCTTTTACATGCTCACACAATTGTGTATAATTTATATAAATATAGTTTACATATTTATAAATATAACCCGAAGAGCCCCGTGCAGACATGATGCTCTAAATTGATTCTAGCATTTCGTAATTAAGAATTTCCAACCTTTCCTGAGTGATGAAAACCCACCTTCCCCAATTTGACAATTTTTTGGCAATCTTCATTCTTAAGAATATTTCATTTTACTTTTCTTACTCCTGTTGCCGGCGATGAGACTGATGCTGCTGAAGAACAAAATCTTGCCATCAAATTTGACGAAAGAACTGGCGAGGCAATGGTATCGAGGAAACTTTACGAAGAAGTCAGCAAAATAGTTCTTCCCTTGGGAGATCTATTATTTCATTCTTCAGAAGAGTGCTTTTCGTTTGCATATACGCTTGGGTTATGTTGATTGTCCTGATTCTAGGAAAGGAATCGGGAATTTCAGGAAGTATTCGAGCAATTAGCGCTATTGTGGCTATCTTACTGCCGTTTATTTTTAAAACAATTTACGCCGATTACCAAGCAGCACAGAAGTCCTCCACAAATATGGCAACCACGGAAAAGCTTCAACACATACTGAAGATTAAGAAACGCGAAAATAACATGATTATTGTTGAATTGGTTAATTGTTTAACCCAGAAAAAGAACGGAGATTTTGCAAACAGAGATGTAGTCTGATTTTTTTTGTATACAAGAATCCAATTATTTAGGGTAGATAAGAAATGGAACTGGTTGAATTGCCAAGTTTATTGCATGTTTTATCCGTTTCATATATAACAATTAAGTATGTATATCTATAACCTTTTTCTGCATGTTTAAATGAAAATCACGATTTTAGAATGCATCGTTAATACATCTTCGAAACAGAAGACGATATGAAAGGAAAAATAAAGTGTGCGAAAACAGGGCCGTTTAAAAATGACCAATGAATTCAGCTCTGCTTCATAGGTATGATAATACACAAATGTATTAATCAAGAGAATATGCACTTAACTTTCAATATGCAATTAATTTTCGCATATCATATTTTTTTCATATTTATTTTCGCGTATCAGCGAACCGTAAGTTCCATTCCTGCTAAAGGATCGATAGTTTCTCGATTATTCTCCACAGCTGTTAGGTGTTCTAAAAAAGGATTAAAACTCACAATAATCCGTACTCCTATTTTAACGTATAATTATGTCATAATTAAATATGTCATCATAATTGAATACTGAATGGCCAAACATGAATGAAGTTTTGTTCATTATGGATAGAAGCAAAAGTTAATAGTATAACCATGTATGAAAACTGGCATTAGTCTAATAAAATAATCATGTTCAATCATAGCTCACAGCTATAACTCGTGCCCGTTTTTTGTTCGCTTTCAGCAGATCAGATGCCTACTTCCAAATAACAAACAATATTAACGTCCCTAAAATTCATGATGTACAGTGGCAATGAGGGAAAGCCAACCCCCCCTCCCGTGACAATAATCTCCAGAATCACGGGATCATCACGGGACGACCAACCGCTGTTCACTACAGCCAGTGAGCTAGTAAGTAAGTAAGTATGCCAGTAAGTATGCAAGTTTCACATTTCCTACAATATTAGCAAAATATCAACTTGGATATTAAAATTAGCCTTTGTTGGTAAAAGTTCGTTCAACCGCAGTCAGTAGCTCCATTGTATGCATATGTATACATGATTAATTCTTGGTATACACTGACGTTTGCATGGGGGTTCCCCGAAAACGCAGTCCTGCACTGGTTTCAGTGAATGCATTTATCGTTTAAATTCTGACACATTTCAACAACAAAGTGTAGTGCCCAAGTGGCTATATCGCACAATAAATCAAGGTGAGGAAGTTCTTAAAATGTTATTAACGGAAAATTATATAAAGACGAGTCTAACGCCTGCATGTATTTTAAAATCTCACTCACACTCAAACTGATTGAGTGGGATATTTAAATCACGTCAAGTAGCGATTCAATGACGGTATTTCTACTCGAATATGAACTTATTTTCAGTGTTTTACCTTGAAACTTTCCATTGACTAAAGATAGAACTCTATATATTTTCACATGGATCAGTGATAAATCAGTCATCAGGGATGCTTACCGAAAACCTAGTCTGAATAGAAAAGGAATAAGGCCACGTCTATCTCATAAATTGTAGCTAAATGCGAATATTTGCAAGTATGCAAGGAATATGTACTTCGTTTTCGCTAGAAACAAACATTATCCGTATAAACTAATACTAAGTACTTCCTACTCGATATCGCTGATACTGAGAAACGTATCAATACTGCTGATACTAAGAAAAGGAGAAATTTTCTATTCCCATTTCCATTTCCTGAAATGCAGCTAGTCGCTCCATTGTATTCATATGTATATACATGATTAATTCTTGGTACACACTGACCCTTCCATGGGGATTTCAGTGAATGCATTTATCGTTTAAATTCAACAACAAATTTAAGTGTAGTACGCAAGTGGCTGGTTTATGCACAGCAACTGTGGCTGATGTTAATGCATTTATTATTTACATTTTGACACATTTCGACAACAAACTATAGTGCGGAAGTGGCTATATCGCACAATAAATCAAGGTGAGGAAGTTGTTAAAATTTTACAAACGGAAATTTTAAAGATAAGATACATGCATGCACTCATTCATGAGTGCAGTGACTCATGTTTGGGAGTAAACTTTTGAATACAGGTGCAAACAGTGGCGAACTGAGAATAAGTCGCAATCTCTCTGATAGTTTTTGGTTTAAAAATATATTCTTTTGAAATCCATTGGAAATAACCGTCCGGTCGTAAACGACGCACGCAAAAAATTTCGATTTTATCTGCAAGTATTTTACCAAAGCAACTAGAAATTGTATTATCTTAAAGCTAAAACATTTATCTATATGTGTAAGTTTAGTTCATTTCAATAGCTTTCTTTCAATTGTACTTTTGAAATTGAATTTTAGAGAAGCGAAAATACGCAAAGCTTTCCAGAAATCTCGCCTAAAAACCTCCAAATGTTTGTACATTGTGATCAATATTTCCATCTATTTTGCTTGAAATACAGTCGTTTTGGCGATTTGTAGTGATATTTCCAACAAACGTGTTTACAAACGGAAAATCCGAAAATTTGCATATAATTATCACCATATTGGCGAAAATTTGACAAAAAATCGGAAAATTTTCCCTCCAAAAAGGCCGAATATATGACTTCTAGGGACATTTTTACCCCAGGAATCGATTTCCGGGCTTATTTCACCCCTAGGGGGTAGGCAACGTTAAGTTTTTGACACCTCTAAGCTCACGCGACAACCGCATGTGCGTGCGCTGAGCAACGCGTCTCGCTAAACAGGGGGGACATTTGCATACGCTGAAAAAAATAGCGCGGGCTCATGCACATTTTCGCTCAAATTTTGCTTTTCAAAGTTTGGCATGTAAATTATAAGCGCTTTGCAGTTTTCAGCATTGTGAATAATTTGTGATTCGCTGGTTTTTCAATGTACCGAGATTTACTTTGTTGGAAGTTGTAGAGTAACTCTTCCACAAGCTTAATGGTGTTTAAAAATCGAAACAATTACAAAGAAAACATAGATTTTAATACGAGGAAGGTGAGACGCAACGTTGGTGTTGTTCTGTTTATTGCATATGCTTTGAAGAACATGATTTGATTTGATCTCGTATCTTAAAAATATCATTGGAAATTCCATAGAAACTGGTAAAATTCGTTGTCCAATATCATTGGCATGTTTAGCCGTGGGATATGTATACATCGGCGTTTAAATTGACTTTTAAATGGGTAAGACACTTTGTGGAGTTTTTTCACCGCTATGTGACATGATATCTATGTGAGACGCATCTTTGAAAGGAATTTACATGGTTTTAGTCAACGTATAATGAAAAAGTTAGGTAAGTCAATCTTTCTTTGTAACGCAAGCTACATTTCCATGTCTTTAATCTTTGAATATTTTGAATTTTTTAAAACATTTAGCGCCCATATTTTGTTTGAGAACAATTCGACGGCTTCGAAATAATGTAAACAACTTGCAAATGAATATACGCATTTTACGAAAAATCTAGCCTATGACACCACAATTTTTTCTTTTTTATTTTGAAGTACATATAACTGTTGAATTTATAACACGATACTTAAGGCTAGGAAAATTCGGTAAAGGCGCGATCTCGACACTATGATCTGGCCGTTTGGTGAAATCAAGCATTCCGACACCCCAATTTCATTATCGTGTTTCTCTGCAAGTTGCATGTCGATTTCTTGTTTATATCTTAAAATAGGTTCCAAGTAAACTAAGTTAAGTATTTTACTTAAAAGGAGTAGTAATAAGCACAAATTCTTTATATTGAAGGAACTTGAGTTCATTTTAGATTTTTGTTCATACCGAACAAGTACATTTCAAGGTACTAAATCACAATTTGCGAGCAAATGAGCCCTTGACACCACAAATTTTTTAGCTTAATTTTAAAGCTGAATAACTTGTCTTTCAATAAAAAAAGTCTTTATGAAGTGAAAAATAGGGTAAGCATGAGTTTTGCGAGGATCAATTTGCACTTGTGTATTTCGCTGGCAATCACCCGCGAACGCAAGTATTCGAAAATGTGAAGCGCGAGAGGTTTCCGTGCTGCTTTACTGTCGACATTCCTACCACAAACTAGACACTTTTTATGACACGAAACAGGTATTACAAGCATGCACACGAAAACAACAATTAATAAAAGTTTTATCGCCATTTATGTATCGAGGACGGACAAAATGTTTGTTTATTTACAAATTGTAAAATTGTACTTTAAATTTCCCGCCACCATTCATTCCGCAGAAATCTCGCAGTTCGTGTACTCCACGCTTGTTTGTATTAGCGCATGCGCAAACAAATGTCCCCCTGTTGTCTCGCTACAAACAATAACAAATCAGAAAAATCGATATTTTTCGAGTTTTTCTGCCCATCCTAACTCAAAAACTAAACTAAAGCATTCCTAGTTTATATATAACGGTTAAAATACGAAAGGATGAAAAATAACGAAGAAAATAACGAAATTCCAAAGGCGAGTTATATTTCCGGTTGTCATCACCTTGTAATTTGACATGATTTTGACAGCTGCACTGCGGTGTCAGGTTAACAGAAATATTTATTAATTTCCGGATTAAAACAGAAGCGATTGGGTTATAGTATTTTTCTCGAGCTATATTTTGGTGGTATTTATGTGTTTTTTGCTCGCGCATTCGCAGAGCTATTGGAATTTTAAAAAATTCGGACTCTAACGTCCGAAATTAATCTACACCGGACGGGAAACCGCGTAAATTATTCTGACTAACCTTAGATCCGCTACTGGCTGTAAGCATTGATTGATGCCGAGAGGAGCTCGACTTTTTGTATGTCTTCAAAATGTTTGTACGTTGCATTAATGCGCCTTACCGGAGATGCTCACCGGAAAGCTAATATCCTTGTGCATTAACGTTACATTTCTTTAAGGAACGGATAAAGCCACGTCTATCTCATAAATTGTAGGGAAATGCGAATATTTGCAAATATTCAAGGATTTATGTACTTCGTTTCTGCCAGAAATAAACATGTCACGAGACGACCGCATGATGATGTGATGCAGATTACTGATATTATATAAATCGGATGAACAGTATTTTAAGTATTTTCCCTTTTATTAATTATTAAAAATAGATCATTACGCATTGTTTCCGATAGATTTAACGTTACCAGGTCTTCTTTGCAGTGTGCAGCCTTTCGGTGGGTTCAAAAAGGAACGTTGAATATCGAATCAAGATTAAGATTGAATCCGAAAAATTCAAACGTGGATTCATCAAATTCGATTCTATTTTAAGATATTTAGTAGAAATGAAAATCGATAATCTCATTTGAGAGTTCAACTCCGGTTGCACAAAAGGAATGTACCCCTTGAACGTTAAGAGAAGGCTTGAGTTTTGTGACGAGGAGACTCTCATTTATTATTAACTGATTTGGTTTATCAGCACATTTTCGAGTCCCCTAGTTTCATCTTTCAACAAATAAGGGGTAACAATTGCCGAAAATGAACGAAAAAACTCGAAGTTTTTACCCAAGGGCCTTCGTCGGGAGAAGTTTGATAAAAGGT